GAATTTTCTCGGTACAGGGACCAAAAAGGGGCTTTTTCCTATAGTAGAGGGACCAAAAAGGGTATTTAACCTATCTTTATTAACATTGTAAAAGTTAAGTGATACTTGATTTATAATAAAATATGAATTCAAAAATAAATAAATATACTCATGATCCTAAATTTTAAAAGTCCTTTTTATAAAATTTTACCTTTTTTTAAAATTAAAAAGATCAAATTTATACATTTAAAATTTATTTCATATTTACCCTTCAAACTTTTTTTTTATAAATTATTATATTTAAAATTAATATTTATTAAAAAATTAATTTATTAATTAAGTATGAAAATTTATAATTAATAAATATCTACCAAAATTCAATACAAAGGAAGAAAGCACACATTCAAATCCAATTTACCCATAAAAGTATGGCTAAAACCAACATTTAACTCCTCACCTTACAAAATTGATAGGTTTTAACCTTTAATCTTATAATATAACATTTTTAACCCTTTATCTTACAAAATTAGTAGGTTTTAGCTCCTCATCTTACAAAATTGATAAATTTTAGCCATTCACCTCATACATGACACTTTTAGTCCCTTATCTGTATGAATTGAAGAAAATAACCCTCACTTAATATCATGTTATAATATTCTGTTAGTTTTATTAGTTGACTGTAAATTCTGTTAACTGACTATTAGTTCTATTAACTAACTGTTAACATCCGTTAGCATTCCATTAATGAAACTAATAAATAAAATTGAATTTAAATTTAATGTTTTTTTATAATGGGATGCTAACAAATGTTAACAATCAGTTAACAGAACTAATAGAATGTTATAATCTAATATTAGGTGAGGGTTATTTTCTTCAATTCGTATAAGTGAGGGGCTAAAAATGTCATAATATAAGACGAGAAGTTAAAACCTATCAACTTTGTAAAGTGAGGGATTAAAACTTACTAACTTTGTAAGGTAAAAGGCTAAAAGTATTATATTATAAGTTAAGGAGCTAAAACCTACTAATTTTGTAAAGTAAGAGGCTAAATGTTGGTTTTTACCCATAAAAGTATTATGCCGGGAAAAGTAGGCTGTACTTATTGGCACGTTCATGTTACTGAGACTACTCGTTATATTTGTAGTTTTATTAA